TTTTGATCTGCTGTGACCTGTTTGAGATCTTTAATGAGTTGAGAAGCTATGCTTCTGTTAATCTCTTCCTTCTTGTAGATGTTTTGATATGTGTTGCATATGTAGTCTATAGTTTGTTTCTGTGAGTTGTTATTGGGGTTATTTGGGTTGTGTATTTTGAAGCAGCCTGTTGTCAAGTGTCTTGATTTGTATAGGGCAAAGAAATATTAGTGGATTTTCACCTTCTTTGATCTATTTGATGTTTGATCTCAGCTGCCACTTGCTAGATAAAGAGCTTAGTTCTTTTTGTAATTTTAAATTTAGGTCTTCAGTTACGAGTTTTAGCTTTAGATTTGGGTTTTTGGCTATTTTGTTGTTCAGACTGCAAAGCTTTCTATAAATTTTTTGAATTGTTTTTCTGGGGCTGACAGGGCTTAAAAGCTTTTATTATCGATTGAATAGTGCATTTGTGAAAGTCCCAGAGTGAGAGATCTTGAATATTTTGTATTTCCCAAATAACATCTCTTTTAAGATCTAGGTTGTTCCAACTTTTCCTGTCAAATTTCTAGAGTAACATGTAGCTGTGGCTTGGTTTTAGACACAACACACTTTTAACTAGTAGATAGTCTGAATTGCCAAAGCAAGTGCAAGTATTGTTGCACATGTGACTGTAACCTGCATTAATAAATATATAGGCTTGGTGTTACAGAAAAGGGTGAAATCAACAAAATAAAAGATCTTCAGAAGATTGATTTTTATGTTATAAATTTTATAATAAATCATAAGAAAATATAAACTTTAAAGAGCTATATTACAAAATTTTATTAATACAACTGCTTTTGAATTTTAAGTAAAAAATGAACCTAATCTTATTCTAAATTGATTTGTGTAAAAAAAAAAAAATGAAAATTGATCGATTTCCTTCTTTTCTGTAGCACTCCACCTATATAGTCTAGGCAGGTAGCTATTCTTTAATTTCCTCTTGTAGATTGGTAAAAGGTAAGAAAGGGTTTTTTGGATGACATAATGGCAGTGTCTGTGTAATCTTGATAGATCTTGCTGTGCTATCGCTTGACTTATTCTGTTTACTTCAGAATTCAAGTTTGTATTGAAATTGCCTGCTATAATATTTATTCTGTTTTGGTTAGCTGTGGGGATCCAGCTTTTGAAGAATTCAACTCTGTCCACTGGGTTTGGTGGTGTGTATATATTTGTAATGTAAAAGGCTTGCTATCTGATAATTGTATTAGTTGAAATCACTCTATCATCATGTAACTCTTGTGTATCGAGAAGCTTAATATTTTTTTTGCCAGCTAATATGGCCATTCTTGCAGACTATAAAGAATCATAACCCCATTGCTTAGATAAAAAACTTCTTGTTTTGGAATCTCTAAGGTTGGTTTCTTGTAGAATTATTATATCCAATTTGTAAGATTTAAGTAATGTGAGATTGAACCCATCATTTAGGCCTTTGACATTTAGTGTAGCAATTTTAATTATTAATTAAGGTTTGTTTGAGGGTAAGGCTATACTAAAAGATTTGTCTTATTGGTAATTTTTTGGAATGAGGTTGCCTCGTTGTCCAATGTCTGTCTCTCTGTATAGGTGATATACTTTTGATTGTTCTTTTTTCTTGTTTTTTGCTCTTTGTTTTTTAGAGGTAACCAAGATGAAAGAAGTATTTTCTTTGGCTTATTGTTCTGTATTGGCCTGGTCCTGGGTATTGAGTAGTTCTGTTTCTATTTTGGAGCATTGTTCTGCTATTGTATTGTTTGGAAATAGTGGCTTTTGTGTGATTTCTTCCTTGTCTTGAGGTAAGTTGTCTGTTGTTGGTTCGGGAGTAAAGTCAGAAGATCTTTCTACTTGGGCCCACTCTGCTAAGCAGTTATAATAGGAGTTGTTTTAACTGATAATAGGTTCTAAAGTGGCTAATTTCTAGTTTTTGACCTTTTCTTGATATAGTTTGGCCATCTTTAGCATGACTCTTGTCTCTATAGAGGCCTTTAACTCTTCGCAGTCTTTTTTAATATGACCTTCCTTTTCACAGTAATAGCAAATTTTTGGAGCTTCTTTCCATTTTGTAGTTACTTTATGATCTCTGATATGTGTAGTTCTTGGGATTCTTTTGGTTAAATCTGAATTATCAGTAGTTTCGAAAGTAATCAGCCATTGATCTGAGCAGATGGTGGTTCCTTCAAAGAGTAGTGATTTGATTAAAGCTTCTTGGCCTAGATCTTAGAAGGCATCTAAAATAAGATTGCTTATTTGTTTTGTATCTCCTATTGGGGTATTTCTTAGTTTTACTGTAAGAAATGTGTGTTTTAAGTTGACTAGAATATGGCCAAAGAGTGTTTGTTTGAATAACATGATACCTTTTGCTGTGTATAGTTGAACTTTTTCTTTGCTTTTGAGAACCACCTCAAGGGCTGATCTTTTCCCTCTAGACATATGAGTTTTGGCTACTAGTAAGTCTTCCCCAATGCTCATAGCTAGAGCTGTGATTATGTTATTTGTTAGTATATTAATTAGATTATGGATATCCAGGATCAGAGTATTCTCATTCTTGAAATGTATTTTTTATCTTGGAGAAGAGTTCGAGAAGATTGCTTTTCCTTTCTTCAATTTGGAAAAGAGGTCTGCCTACTGTTTCAGTTTGTCCATATTGTTTTGTTTCTTTTTTTAGACCTGTGGGTTGTTTGAAGTTAGTGTGTCATTTGGGGTGCCTGCAGAGGAGGGCCCTGGTTGGTCATCCTTCAGCATGTGTTTGTTGTTAGACATGTGCTTGTTATCAGGTGCCTGTTTGTTGTTTTTATCATTTGATACATGTTCTGTGTCTTTAGTATGCTTGTTGTTTTCCAAGTTTTTATTGTTGTTAAGTGTTTCTCTTGAGGTCAAAGGAGTTTTGAGAGTTTCTGTTTGATATTTTTGCTCATTTTCCACTTGGTTTGCCCAACTTGTAGTGCTGCTCTCTAGTTCAAAACTTGTAAACTTGTTAACTACAGGCTCTATAGTAGAGGTTGTATTAGTCTTTGTTTTGTTGTCTTCATTGCCAAAGTTTTTTGTTTCCTGGAAGGAAAAAATTTTGTTTCTATCTGAGCCCAGCTTAGTTTTCTTGTTTGCATATGACTTGCTCATGGCTGCAGTTTCTAGTTTGCATTTCTTGATATTGAGAGCTTCCACCCCATCAGAGTTTGTAGAGGGTGCTGGTGTTTTTTCTAGTAAAATTTTGTTTTTTGTTTTACCAGTTGTGAACCGGAAAGAGTTGTAGAAGAATTTTTTTTAGCCAAACATTTTTAAAAACAATTTAAAAAAAGGCTACAGAAGTTTAAAAAAATAGATATAAATTGGCAAAAAGAATATAAGCCAAAAGAAGAAATAAGTCTGGGTCAATACAATAACATAACACTGGTCAAAATTTTTTTATATGATAGGATGATATGAAGGCGATGTATATAAAAACAAACATTCTTACATCGGGTTAAAGATATAAACATGATATATATAATCGTACAAATATCAGCCTACCAATATATTGAAGATTAATATAATATTAAAATATATACCAAAAAAAAGAAGATAATAAGGTGATTATATAA